CCTCCCCGCAATTCACCAGGAGAAGCTGCTCTAAAGCTTTATTCCCCAGGAAGGCGGCCGTCCCCTCAGTAGCGCTCCCGTTTCTTCCGGATGGCCTTTGGCTTGATGTTCATGCGCCTCCAGACGGCTGCGGTGCTGCGGTCCAGTTTGGTGACGCCGCTGAAGTCGAAGTTCTTCAGCTGGGGCAAGGTGGACAGGACGTAACTCCTAGGGAGGGAGGGAGGGGGGGACAGAGGAGGGGGGGTCATTCCCCTTGCTCCCTGGGCAGGACCCTTCTCCTTCCCCTCTCCTCCCCTCCCCTCAAAGCGCTGGAAGCCACGGAAGGCTGCCAAAGGCGGGGAGGGCAAAAGGGATGAACGCCACATGCAGGCAGTCCTCAACTTGCAACAGCTCATTTAATGACTGGAAGTTAACGGCAGCACTGGAAAAGTGACTTAGGGCCTGTGGGATGACCCAAAGGGGCGTGACACGAAAATAAAGTCACCAAAGTAGAATAAATTCCCTTTAATTGCCTCCAACTTGGACCCCAATGTCCAATTATCCTCAGCTGGAGATCAAACTCTTCCAAAAACAGTCTACGAAGGGAGTAAATGCAGTCCGAGCCCAAAGTAAAGATAATTAGAAATAAAAAAAACCAACACAAACCACACTGAAGTCATTAACACGGCAGACCAGGATGATACATGGCAGACTTCCAAAAGATAACGCAGCACCCACAGTTGGGAGGACGCCAAAACCCAGAGAAGCCTCGACCAAGATAATGCACGCTTTGCTTCCAGCCCCACTTATATCCTGTTCTCCCAGCTGCAACTAATGAAAGGGAATCAGGGCCCTTCCCTCCCCCGTAAGCCATGTTGCTCCCTTCTCTGTTCCTGCTGTGCCCTAGGATGCAGAGGGGGTGGCCCTGGGTCTTCCTCTGAACGCCCAGCCGGACTGTGCCCTTCTTTGGTTTCCTCCACAGCCATGGAGCCCCACTCCCTGTTAACTCGCTTAACAACGGCAGCGATTCCCTGAACGAATGGGGGCAAGAAAGCTTGTAAAATAGGTGGAAAATAGAACAACGCTCTCACTGAAGTGACAGAAACATCGGGCTCAATGGTGGTCATAAGTTGAGGACTACCTGTCCTAAGAAGAGACTGGACAGCCCCTTGTCCAAAAGGCTGTGGGGGTGGGGGGGTCTCCTGCTTGAGCGGGGGTTGGACTAGAAGACCTCCAAGGTCCCTTCCAAATCTGTTGCCTTTGTCTCAAGGAATCCTTCCGATCTACATGAGGATGCAAGCCAAGAGGTATGTCGTCTCCTCCTCCTCCTCCTCCTCACAAAACAGGTGAAAGGTCAGCTTCTCGTGGGTTGGCAGAGGTCCAAGGAGAGCAGAGAAGTTGAAGAAGATGGCCCACCCAGTTGGACTTCCTGCGTGGCCTGGAACCAGCTCACTCCATAAGAGCTGATGGACCTTGGAGACCAACGATGGAAGAGGACAATGGGTAGGGCAGGAGGACCAGTTGAACTAGGGCAGGTATCTCCAACCTTGGCAACATTGCAACTTGTGGGACTTCAACTCCCAGAATTCCTCAGCCAGCACGTGCTGGCTGAGGAATTCTGGGAGTTGAAGTCCAAACTCGTAAAGTTGCCACGGTTGGAGATATCTGAACAAGAGAATAATCCAGGTCCTTCCGGGCTGTTTAGGATTGATTTTCCCTGTGTCAATCAGAGGTAGTAGGAAGTTGCAATTGACGTGATGAGTCATTGCTCCCATCAGTCTCTCCGTAGGGCATTGCGTAACCTTGTGTGTTCTCAAAAGCCTTGTGACATTTCAGAGGTTGGTTTCCATGACTCAGGAAGAGAGGCCATGCTTTCTGCATACCCAAGAAGGGGGACGATTTGTCCAAATTTACTAAAAACGGCACCAACACCAATTGGAAGCGGTGTTCTCGTCTGGCAAAATCTGTTGCAAAAAACCTGAAGCCCCCCCCACCCCCACCCCAAGGAAGATGGTTCTGAAGGATTCCACGGTGGGGAGACACACCTTGTCCTTTTGGTATTGGGGACTGGAGTCTATCCAACCCAAAAGGAAGCCCTGGATCTAGTTCTGGGAAGACTCCCAGGGAGAGGGGGTGCATCCATTGAAATCAACCGCTCGGACACAGAAAGAGAAAGCGGGGGACGTGCTTCTCACGGGGCATGGAATTTAGGGGTTTTAATGCGAAGTTTCTGGGATCTGGAGAACAGCCGCTCCGAGTCCAGGATAACCGGGCGGGAAGGGACCTCGGAGAATCGTGCTTCTTTTCCCTGATGGAAGAGGGAATCGGAAAGCTCATCCTTTCACTTTCAAGCCCCACGCTTCTGGGATAGCGTGGGACAAGCAGCCCAAGACTGGCAAAGGCTTCCATGCAAAGTTCCTTTGGATTGTATTAGGCATCCTCACAATATAACTCACAATTATGCTGAGATCCACCTTAACATCCAATCTTTGCCTCGATAGTGTGAAAAGATGGTTATCTTCGACCCACAGCATAGGAGGCCCAGGTAAGAATGCCCCAAAACTCCCCCAGCCCAACCAGAGATCAATTCAGTGACCAATCAGGATTACAGATGTGACCACGTGACATGAGCTACATCTCCCAAGAGGCATGAACTACATTTCCCATGAAACATTCCCAGCTCTTGTTCCTAAATTAACTATCTACTGTCTGTCAAGCCCCTGTTGGAGTTTGATTCCGAGGGAAAGGTCGAACAGCTGACAGGGAGTGGGAGTCTGGCTCCGGAGGCTGTGGAGGAAACTCGGGAAGGGCACAGTCCGGCTGGGCACTCAGAGGAAGACCCAGGCCCATCCCCTCTTCATCCTAGGGTACACAGGAGGAACAGAGAAGGGAGTAACATGGGCTATGGGGGAGAAAAGGGCCCTGATTCCCTTCATTAGCTGCAGCTGGGAAAACAGGATTTAAAAAGGGCATTTGCGCACAGAACCTTGCTGGAAGCAAAGCGTGAATTATCTTTGTTTGTCAAGTCTTATCTGGGTTCCGGTGTCGTCCTAACTGTGTGTGTTTCATTTTCTTTTGAAGTCTGCCATTCCTTATCCTACCCTGTCTCGTCCATTGCTGCCACAAAATTGGTTTGTGCTGTTTTTTATTTATAATTTAGATGTACTTTGGGTTCAGACTGAATGTCTTTCCTTTAAAAACTGTTCTCGGGAGGTTTTTTTCCTCCAGCCGATGATAACTGGACATTGGGGGCCAAGTTGGAGGAATTAAAGGGACTTTACCTACTTTGGGGACTTTGTTGCTTTTGTGCCGCGCCCCTTTGGGTCATCACACAGTCTAACCAGCACAGGTGACATTGGACGGTTCTCCGAGCTACTCAAAATTCCCGCTATCAGTTCTCCAGAACTGGTCAGAACCGGCTGAAGATCCACCTCTGCCTGCAACGGTTCTTCGCCTGTCTTAGCCTGGAGCAAAGCTTCCAGCGGTTTACCTGTAGCCCTTCTCCTCTTCGATGGGGTTTCCGTGCAGGGTCAGGTTGCGCAGGTGAGGCAACACGGCCAGCTTGTCCACTTCGGAGAGATGCTGGATGCTGTTGCCATGAAGGTTCAGGTTCCGGAGGTTGTAGAAGGTGGTCAGCACCTGGGAAAGAAGGGCAAGAATAATAATGGTGGGCGTGGGGGGGAAAGAGTTGACTCTAGTTTTAGTTTTACGGCTTGGTTGTTCCTTGTTGGCTTTCCTGAGCACCTGCGAAGGGCTCTGGTTATGCCTTTCAGGTCGGCTGCCCAGCCCATTCCTTAAGGCCCCTTGGCTATTAAGGGTGGTATATAGGATGGTCATAAACCGGGCATCCAGTCTCTCTCTGCCCCCACCCCCCCCAAAATCTCCTCTGAGGTGGATTTAGGCCTCTGTGCTTTGTGGAGGAACCCAGCAACGTTTAATTGAATGGAATACCGGTGGTCCTCAACTTACGACCACAACCAAGCCCAAAGTTCACGTTCAGTGAGAATATCAACTAAAAAGATACTCCTTTGGTCTTTATAGCTGCCGGCAGACAGGAAGCGGGGGGAACAGTGCATTCCTTAAGTGCCTAGATAATCACCCTGGCAGCCCAAAGTTGTCGGAGCGCAAGTGTATGACTGGAGAGCCTGATGGATGACTCTTGGCTATGGATGTGTCCCATTGGAGAATAGACATCCAGGGGGTAGGTGGGGGGAAGACCGGAGTCAAGGGGGAAACGAATGGTGTGTCAGAGTCCGCTGCATCCAGCTAACACCTTCCTATTATATATGATGAGTTAATATACATAGTTTAGAAAGGGGGGCTTAGCATACCGGGTCGATGTTGGGCAGGTCGTTGAAGGAGAGGTCGATCCAGTAGATGTCCAGGGGATACTCCAGCAGCTTCTCCATAATGTCTGGGAAATCGGTCAGGTCGTTGAGGGTGTTGTTGTTCAGTCGGACGGCCTGGGTCAGTAGGCGGCCCCCCTCCAAGCGCCGGATGGGCCTGAGCCCGGGACGGGGCTCCTCGGTCAGCAGGTCTGGAGGGCAGCAAAGAGGGCAGAGGGAGGGCGCCTGCTGTGCCGGGAGCAACTGGGCACCGGCTGGCAGCAGGGGCCACCTGCACAGGGCCCCACAGCTCTGGAGCATGAGCAGAGTGCACTTCTCACTGTCAGGAAGCTGCTAGGAGATTCTCAACCATCCAGGTCACGGTTGAGCCCCCCCAAAAGTGCTTAAAAAAACAACAACAGGCAACTGAACTTCCTTGTTTTTTTAAATGCTTAATTTCTCATCCAAGCTTCTTCAGGCCTGAGGAAGTTCTGAAAGTTTTGGGTTGAGAAGCGAAACATTTTCAAAGAGAAAAACAAAGTCCAGGTGCCTTTTGGATGGGGGAAAAAAAACAACTTTTTATCACTTGTTCTGAGAGAAACAGAAGAAGGATCTTCCCTTTTGGCAAAGCAGCAACTGAAATTTTATTTTTATCTCACCTTATTTTTACAAATAACTCAAGGTGGCAAACATCTCCAACGTATCTTCCTCCTCCTATTTTCCCCATAACAACCAACCTGAGAGGTGGGCCTGTGGGCCGAGACAGGGAGGGACTGGCCCAAACTCACCCAGATACCTTTAACGGCTAAGATGGGACTAGAACTCCCTGTCTCCTGGTGGGGGAGTCCCCAAGGTCATCCAGCTGGCTTTCATGCCTAAGTCGGGACTAGAACTCACTACCTCCTGGCGATTGGCCCACACTCACCCAGCTGTCTTTCCCAGCTAAGGCGGGACTAGAACTCCCCGTCTCCTGGTTTCTAGCCTACCTCAGCCACGAGACCAAGCAGGCTCTAGTGGCCCAGAGTTTGAACCGCAGCAGTGGCACATGGGCTTCCTTTAAAAGTGCGCCCCTGTCCACAGCATCTTCTAATATCCAATATCAAAACCCAGGAATAAAAACCGCGCCAGGCAGGGGATCCGGTCGTACCTTGCATAAAACTGATGCCTCGGAAGGAGAAGTCCAGTGGCGGCGCCTGGAGGGAGGCCTTGGTGTAATTCCAGGACACGCATGTCTTCCCAGCTGTGCTGGCGAAACACAACGGCACACGCCCAGAGATTCGCACACGGCTGAGCCAGGGAGGCTGCCGGGCTGGCTGTTCTGGGACCCCGGAGCTCTGTCCACACCTTCTAGGTTTGGGGAGGGGGATTGTGGCCGGAGGGAGGGAGAGAAGGGCCACGCTCCAGGGAATGGTCATCCCCAAGGGGCAGGGTGGCAATGAGGCCTTCGAGGCAAGAAGTGTGCATTGCGTGAAACCTGCCGTGGCCACCTTGACTCTTCTGACCACGCGCTCTGGACAGCCCCGTTCCAGGGTGACTCCATAAAGCGGGGGTCCCCCAAACTTGGCCCCTTTAAGACGTGTGGAATTCTGCGAGTTGAAGTCCGCAAGTGGCCAAGTTTGGAGACCCCTCCTATAAACCATGGCTCACAAATCCCCACGGGAGCCCAAACCAAGCCACAGGACGTCAGTGTGGGACATGATCATCCTCGGAAGCCAGGGCCGGCTGCTTCGTGTGGGGTGGGCTACCCCAGGGGTTGTGCCAAGAATGTTTGCCCTGTGGAGCCAACGGGCAGCAGCAGCAGCCGGAGCTGAGCAGCGCCAGCCGTGGAAGTCCTGCGCCCGACTGGTGACATCAATTTAAGGCACGTATGTGATAAATCCATAAAAAAGACTGGACCAGATCCCAGGCAGGTCTCAAGAGGTCTGGCCTGGAATCTTGGAGGAGGGAGGAAGGGAGGGAGGGAGGGAGGGAGGAAGGAAAGAAGGAAGGAAGGAAGGAAGGAAGGAAGGAAGGAAGGAAGGAAGGAAGGAAGGAAGGAAGGAAGGAAAAAACAAGAAAGATTAGGGAAGGAGGAGGGAGGAAGGAGGTGGTAAAGGGAGGGAAGATGGAAGAAAGGAAGGGGAAAAACAAGAAGGAAAGGATTAGGGAAGGAAAGAGTGAAGGAAG